GAGTAACTCTTTATCTCATTTATATTGCCTGGTATCATACTCAATAAAAGCAATTCTGGGGTCAGTGGAGTTTCATTTAACTGTTGTTTGACATCTAATGTCATCTCTTTCATCTGATTTACTATTTGGCTAAGATGTTCATTTACTTGCTGAAATCTTGCTGTTATATTTTGCATGGTAGTCTGCCATTCTTTGTTCGATTCTTGTGCGACTAATTTTCCCAAACTTTGAGACTGGGCAAGAAAGGCCTCCAGTATTTGGTGCTTTCATATTTTTTTTGAGGCCATTTTGATCTTTTCAATGAGTGGGGTTTGTGTAAATAACACTATATCCTTTACCAAAGTGACCAGCCCTCAAATATACCACCTACAGTGGACCCTCGACCTATGGAATTAATCCGTATTGGAATGGTGGCTGCAGGTCGAAAGGTCTGTAGGTCGAGGGTCCATTTCCCATAGGAATGCAATGAAAACCTTGTAATCCATAACACACCCAGGAAAAAAACCCCACAAAAAAGTTTAAAATAAAGACACCTTACCTGTCTGAAGCCTTCCAGGGGTCCCCCACCGCCACCATCGCCACTGCTCAAGGCCTTTGAGGGCTTCCCTGCCACTGCCAGAGGCCTCTTGGAGGTCCCTCGTTGCTGCCATAACCACTGCCCAAGGCCTCAGAGGTATTTGCCGACGCTGCCAGAGGCCTTCCCCGCCACCATGGGAGGCATCTTGGAGGTTCCCCCCACTGCTGATCGTGCTTTGGAGGCACTATCGGTGGTGGGGGAACCTCTGAGATGCCTTCCATGGCGGCGGGGAAGGCATCCGGAGGTCCACCCTGCCACCAATGCCTCTGAAGCACGATTGGTGGCGAGGGGGACCTCCACAGGCCTTCTCTGCTGCCATGGGAGGCCTCTTGGAGGTCCCCACCCCTGCTGACACTTTCCCAGGGTGGACCGGGCCTCCCAGGGGAGGGCTTCCCCCAGTTGGCCCGGTCTACTGCTTGGGAAAGCCTGGTAGACTGGGCCTACCAGGGGAGAGTTTCCCCCAGTAGGCCCGATCAACCCCCTGGGAAAGCCTGGGGAGTAGACCGGGCCTGCTGGGGGAAGCCCTGCCCTGGTAGGCCCGGTCTACCAGGCTTTCCCAGGCAGTAGACCAGGCATACCAGGGGAAACGGTTCCAGCTTTTCTCAGGAGCTGCTGGCTGCACCGTGACAAGCCCCGCCTCTCAGCTTGGGTACTTCTGAGGTAATCTCTTCTGGATTGAGGCACTCTCCCCCTGTCATTTCAACCTTTTCTACCAATTTTTACCTCTGAGAACCGAGGATCTCTGATCTCACTAATGGAATCAGCATATTCAGACACCTGTGTCACATTTTTAGGATTCTTGTCCCTGACCAAATAACATAATTCACCTGGCAAAACTGAATAAAATTGTTCCAAGCCAAACACATTTTTCATTTGGTCTGATGAGGTAACACGTTCCTGTTCCAGCCATTTATTGAGAATTTGCGTCAAATGTGCTCCAAGTTAGGCAAAAGACTCCTCAGGTTTCTTGGAAATTGATCTAAATTTCTTTCTTAGCTGCTCTGAATTAATTCCAAATCTGGAATACACAATTTTTCTATATGCCTCAAATTCTCTAGCTTTCTCCAGAGGCATCTGAGAATAAAGCTCAACCAAAACTCCACTTGTGATCTCAATATTATCTTCTCATCATCTTTAATTTCAAAGTCCCAACAAGCTCTCTCAAATGAAATTAGGAAAGATGCAGGACAGTCTCCTTTCCTATATTGAGGAAATTTCTTTAGGTCAATTTTTGAGAGACTTCCCACACTAACATTCTTATTATTATTATTTTGAGCAGCTAATTCCAGTTTCTTCATCTCTAGTCGAAATTGCATTTCTTTTTCTTTTTGCTCAAATTCCATTTCTCTTTTGTTAATTTCTAGTTCCTTTTCCGTAAGTTTAAATTCTTGTTCTAGTTTCCATCTTTCAAAATCTTGGGAGCTTTGAATATTTTCTCCTTTTGAGGCAATCACTACAGGTCTCTCAGTTTCTTCCTCACTCTGAATTTGAGGGCTTCCATTCCGCTTAGCCTCCTGAGGTTCAACTCCCTCCATAGCTGATTTTTTTATTCTTTTGGGTGGCATATTAGAGTTAAAGTGGACTTTCTTAATACAGTGGGGTCTCGACTTACGAACTTAATCCATATTGGAAGGTGGTTCTTAGGTCGAAAAGTTCGTAGGTCAAATCTGCATTTCCCATAGGAATGCATTGAAAACCATTTAATCTGTATCTGTTCTTCTCCGTCCATAGAAACTAATGGGAAGCTGCTATTCCGCCTTCTGCCACTAGAGGGGGATATTTTTTAATTTTTTTTCCCTTAGGTTCAGGAAATGGAGAAAGGCAGGGAACAGTTTGCAAAGCACTTTAAAAATCTTTTTTTTCACTGAAGCCAATTTTAAATCATGTTTTAAAGCATGTTGTGCTGATTTTTTCAGCACAAAGACACACAGGCAGGCTTTTTAGGTGCTGAGC